CTTTTCAAATTTTTTCATGTACTTTAGGCCACATGTGAAATTCAAGGCCATGCCCAGAGAAACTCTAGGACATGAACAAGATCGCCACTTCGTCATAAACAATGGTGAGGCATGATTACTATCATTATTGTATTTCCCAGCAAAAAAAAAAGTGTTCAGCAGAATACATAAATATCAAAGTATTTTAAAGCAACCTGTCCACTCCAGTAAAAGATTACTTTTCGAAATACGCCCCAAGGTTTCACAGCTGTAAGATATTCATCAAAACATTTATAAAAATAAATATTATACAAATTGGGTTTCATCCGGTCTTCTTTCCATATGCCATCTACTAGGCTATGAGTTCTAGTAGCGTGTGAATCAGATTCCCTGAGAGCGCGCCAAGTTGGTGTGTGTGCACACATTACTGCACTCATGCGCGCTGGCGACCAAACCAATAACGTTTTCACAAAAGGCTGATGTTTATATGAATTTACATATCTCAGTTAATAACGAAAAACTTCAGTGGTCTTTAATCAAAATGTGTTTCATGCAATAAAAGCGCAAATGACATTCGGGCGATTGGCAAATTTTGCCATGGTTTGCTGAGTTTGCCACACTGATATTTATTATGAAAGATACTTACTTTGTAGTTTATTGTTTTTTAATCCACTTGGGACTGATTATTTGAAACCATATTGTATGCTAAATTCAATCTTAATCAATGTAGATTTATAAATATTTAAATTTCCAGTCTGGCAGTGTGAATACATCAGGAGTTATACGGTTAGTGGCAAGAAAAAAACACATTTTGTGATAAAAGGAGGTGGCACCCACACATGATGGAATAGCTCAGAACAACTTGAACATATTAATTCAAAATGCTTCCTTGGTACATAAACTTTTATTCAGTCAGTTCTGTATGCTGTATTGTCCCGGTACAACAATGATAAACAATGGGCCGTGTTTAATGACAACAATAAGCAGTCATCCAGGGTTTGGCCACTAATTGGACCATTATGCGCAACGCATTCTCACCCCAAGGCGTCACCTTTGACCATGCTTCAATATTTGACGTTTTAGGCGCCCTTTAGCGTCACTTACATGACGCGATCCTACGGCGTCATCTAACTGACGCTAAAGGAAAGCGTCAGTTAGAGGACGCGGTTAGGTTTAGGTGTGGGGTGGGGGTAGGGTACACGCGATCCTAGGGCGTCATCTAACTGACGCTAAAGGGCGCCTAAAGCGTCAGATATTGAAGCATGTCCAAATGCTTCCCAAGGCGTCAGTTAAGTGACGCCTTGGGGGTGAGAATGGGCTGTTATGCGAGACCATCCCAGCCTCTCATCTTCAGTTCCGTCCATCTCTCACTCTCACAGTTTTGTTTTACTACTCGGACAAACTCTCTGCAGACATAAATCAATTGAAGAATAATTTAATTGCACATTTAATTAGCATGTTGATTGCCGTGGTGCAATGCACCATAAATAAAAGCAGCGTTGAGCTTCTGTTGTTGCCGGACTGATTGAGAAGACATTTCCTGATGACCAGGGACAGTCACGCAGGAAGAAACAATTTCCTCATGGATTACATGCAATGCATCAGCCTGCAGCATTGAAATAGAGTGATAGAGTGACTCAATGCAATGATTTATCATGGAGGCAATATATGGCCACTCACTACAGTCATCTTAGCTGCCCCAGGTTATTGCAACATTTAATGAGGCTGATAATGTTGCTGATGCCGTGAAACATGCATATAGGAAAAGAGGGATGCATATCGCTGACCATTTTGGTATTTTCTTGCATTAGCGGTCAGTGCTGGCTGCAAATAATTCCATGGATTATATTTTCCCACTATATCTATTCTATGTTTTAACAGAATTAGATGCTGTTATTGTGAAGTACAGGCAAAAAGTTCATATAAACGTAAATATATATCATTAAATAGTGAATTTCACACACAAATAAAACAAAAAACTCAAATTAAGTAATAATTAAGCATGTGTCTGGAACCTTTGATTGTCTATTTTTTTATTGTCATTACTATGGCTTGTAATAATACTGTAGTGTACTAAATTATATTTATATGGATCTCTAAAAGGGACATGGTGATGGAAAAAAATAAGAGATGGAAGGGAAAATTATACATCAATGCTTTTGCATAATGCATTATTTTTGCGTTCCCCAGAGAAATGGCAAAGAAATATTGAAATATTTTTGCTCCCATCTCTTTTTTTTTTCCAGCACCATACATTAGAATTGAAATTTTTGCATTACAGTATACAGTATAAATTCTGAAAGGTCTTTTTAGTTGTCATAATAAATGTCAAATTTATTGTCATCAATAATAATGTCACAATGCAAAAAGTCCAAATGGTTCTAAAAATAGGCTTACTTAATATCATTATTATTATTATTGATTCATTTTCAGGTGAAATATGATCGAGACATTTTTGTGGTTGGTTAATGCCTGTATAAAAGTTTGTATAAATATACATATAAAAATAAGTATTACACAGAACTGTTAGATTGCATTGCAGAAAATATTATGTGTCAAACACAAGCAATTATGTAAGTTTTATGAGAAAGAGTTACTGAAGCCTCACTCACCCCAACACAAGAAACAAACCTACAGCACAATCAACATTTGCATAATTGTTTTTATTCACTATTATTGTTCTTTTAAACTTTATTATTTTTTTCTTTTTCTTTTTTTTTTTTTTTGGTGGACATCCTGTAAAATCAATCTTGAAGCCCTTATTTGGGTTTGTTGTACATCTTCATAGCAGAACAGGAGGAGGACTGGAGCGGGTGCTGGACCCCTTTATATGTCAATCAGCCCTACGTCTTAAAAAGGGATTTCTTTTTTTTTTTCTCTTTTTTTTTTTTTTTTTGCATTGTCTCACAAAGTGTACCTCATAGTATTTACACATACAGTGGATCACGTCCACTCAAAATGACACCAGGATAAAAAGATTCTGCTCTTTTATAGATATTCTTTTTCTCTCTCTTCCTCTCTTTTTCTGTTACAGACAAAATTTGAGGAGTGAATCCTCTTTTAAGGTTTCCGTGCTGAGTTTAGGTTGCGCCGGACATAAAATGACTCTTTCTGCACATAAAACTCTCTTCAATAAATACCTCTCAGGAAACAACTGTACACAGTGTTTGACTTTGATATATTTTTGGAGCATGTTAGTAAAACTAAAAATATAAGAAAGAGATCAAACTATAGTTTATCAAAATCCCAAAGTAACAAAATCATGCATATTATATATATATATATATATATATATATATATATATATATATATATATATATATATATATATATATATATATACTTTTCTGTCCATAGAAACCGAAAAAAGTAACATAATTGCCGGGCCTTTTTTATTTACATTAATATTGGCACTGTTTATTTTCTTTGAATCTGGAATGATCGTTATGAAACACGTCAATGCTCACGTCAGTGTAACACTCTCATGGAAAGAAGGACGCTTGCTCTAAAAACTCTGGATTACATCCTATTTTAGGCTAAAGGAAAACAGAATAAAAAGAAACAAGAAAATAGATTGCTTCCTAGGGGTCAGACAGCCAAAAATAAATTACGGTGTGAGTGTGAGTAAAAAGCCATTTGACTCCATATTCAGACAGCGGCAGATTTCACCTTTTGAAGCAAAACCAATTGACATCGTTTTGTTTTTTGTTTAGTTTTTTTCTCTTAGGATCCATTTACCCTCTCATATACAATTATACTTTCAAATAAACGCTTTAGATCATACCCAAAAGGCAAATCAAAGACCTTAAAAAGAAAGACAAAATTCAAAGGAATGGTTCCCCTTTAAATTCACCCATACTTTAAATCTATATGACTTCATATCTTCTGTGGAATTCAAATAGATAATTAGCAGAACGCTCTTTTCCACACAATGACAGTGAATGGTGACTAGTGGTCGTTAAGTGCTAAAAAATGCCAAAAAGTACTATAAAAGCAGTCTATATATATATATATATATATATATATATATATATATATATTCTAAGCTTTATGAAGTCATGCAATAGATTTGTGTGAGGAAAACACTAAAATCGAAGTCGTTTATCGCTGATTCTCCATTGCAGCTCTCAAATCTTATTCATGGTCAAGAATATTCAAATATGACACATCAAGACCATAGAACATAGACCATAGAAATTACAATCTTCCATTGCTGGGCAATGAAATGGGCCAAAAATGTTATTTGCGTTGAAAGAGGAACCTGAGAGACAAATAGAGACAATATAGAAACCACCAAGATAACATTCACAAATTCAATTCCCAGAATACCCTAACAACCAAATAGCAACACCTCGGCAACCACTTTTTTTTTTTTTGCATAAGAAAACACTCGCTTATTCTTCAGATGACAAAAATTGTGAATTAATCTTTTCTTCTCTTGTGAAAACAAAGTGCACTTAATTGTCTTGAATGTGCACTTGTAGTTTACTTCAAATCTTAACTGTATATTTAAAAAAAATACTTGCAGATAATATAAAATTAATTAAATAAAAGGTCACTTAAGCGCACATTTGCTTGAAGAGAGTACTTTCATAACTAGGTTGCTTAATACACTTGAGTACACTTTTAAAACGTGCACTTTGTGTTAATATCAAATTTAAAATTTTACTTTAAAGTAGATTTTAATTTATTGTGTTTTATTAAACCTTTAATCTTGTACTTATTTTGATGCTGACTTTAATACTAAAGCACATCTAATGCACTTGATTATTTGAACTGGAATGTGAAAACCATGTCTAAACCAGTTGCAATGCACCAAATTTGAACATGTGCATATGGTCATATTCCTTAAGAATAAGCACACAAGTCATAAGTTATGGTACTTTTATGTTTCACCATTCACTGTCGTTGCATGGAAAAGCATGGACATTCTGCTCAACATGTGCATAGAAGAAAAGTAGTAAGTCATACAGGTTGTAAATGATAAGAATAAGTGATGACTTTTTGTCTTTTTTTTTGTGGGGGGGGGGGGGTGAACTATCCCTTTCATGTATGGTATCTTTATTCCTGCTGTTTCTAAGGGAAGAGATGAGCAGGTAGCCTATATCTTTTTCCAGTGTTTCCATGTTAAACATGTGCATGACAACTGATCCCAAAGTCCGTTGTGTGTGAACAAACGTAACAATGCGTGTGTGTCTGTGTGTGTTTCTACATAGTCATACAGTATGTTCAGTGCAAACACATTTATACCAACCTTGTTAAATCCTTCTTGACCTTTTACGTTTTTGACATTGATAAATCTAGCAGGATGGCAGCATGTAGCCCTTTCCTCTGGGCCTCATCTGAGTTTCCAGTTTCAACAAGCGTTTTTGAGATCGTTGACAGGTGAGCCTCATAGTTCGCCAAAGGGTTTTACTTTTGCCGTGCCTGTCGCCCCTCTCCCCCGTCCCCTCGTCCTAGCACAATCCAATGTACTTGAGATTGTTTTGGATGATCACGTCCGTCACCGCGTCAAACACAAACTGGATGTTGCTGGTGTCAGTGGCGCAAGTGAAGTGTGAGTAGATTTCCTTGGTCTCCTTGTTGCGGTTGAGGTCCTCGAACTGCCTTTGCACGTACACCGCCGCCTCCTCGTAGGTGTTCTGGCCCTTGTAGTCAGCGAAGCAGACCGTCAGCGGAATACGCTTGATCTTCTCGGCCAGCAGGTCCTTCTTGTTGAGGAAGAGGATGAGTGAGGTATTGGTGAACCAGTTGTTGTTGCAGATGGAATCGAACAAACGCAGGCTCTCTGCCATACGGCTCTGTTGGGAAAGCGAAGACAAGAAATGGTTAGTTGAAGCGCTAACAAAAGGATCTGGCTCCCTTGTAGCGGAAAATCTCTGAACTTGATGAAATCAGTGGCCTTTAACCTTGAAGAGAGCAAACAGGGTAACATATTAAGTTCCCAGAGACACTCTAGATCTAGACAAAGGGGTGTACAGTATGTCAAATAGATGACCCAATATTAGGACAACAAATCACTATGGCGGGGCGAATCATTGTGGCAACAGGGGACGATGATGTGGTTTAACTCCCACAAACTCGCTTTTTAATATTGCAGGGATTTGAACATGCCTCTAACATTGAGTATACTTGAAGGATAATTCAAATTGTGTGGCTTGTTGAGGGAAAGTGTGCTATTACTTTTCTAAGCCATCAGAATTAAAAAAAAAATTCTTGGTTAGCAATAAAATGTGTAAAACAATAGTACTTTGAAAGAGAAACCTGAGGAACAATAATCTCATCTATACTCTTTTGCCAGTAAGAAACCATCCAAAACACCTGCAGATGACATAATGTAGTTATACCTTATACTTTTGCCTCACTAAACTTCTAATTTCTTTTTTTTTTTTAATTTTAAGTTTAGGTATTGGGATTAAGGAATGTAGAATAAGGTCATGCAGAATTAGTTATTAATTTTTGCTTTAAGTACAAATAAACAGCCGATATCCTAGTAATTTCCATGGTATTAAGAAACTAGTTAATTGCGAGAATTAAACCCTAAAGTGTTACTGTTACCTTTACAAGTTCATTTGTGAATCAGTGAATCATTCTTGCCTTCTCTTGTAAAAAAAAATTAAAATAGTGTGCAAAGTAATGTACTTCAAATCTTGAACATATGGGTTGAAAAACTCTAAAATAATAATAAAAGAGTACATATTCACTGTTTCTTGACACTCAAGTACACTTTTAAAAGGGGAAATTAACATGCAATTATGCAGTTTGCACTTAAAGGTATAGCGGAGGATTTTCTTTTTCCGGGTGGGTAGTCTATACTATTGGTCCACCTAAGTGTCAATCATTCTGGTGATATGTTTACGTAAGGCCGTCGTAGCCTACGTGCTCATCCCTATGTAGTTTTCACTTTCAGGTGTATTATTATGTCGGAGCTGCGGTTTCAGCCATTCCTTTGAAAATGGCTGAGGGTCGAAAGAGAAAAAATGTTTACGAAGTGTATGATAAGAAGAGAAAGGCCACAGAATATAGAAACAAGACCAGAGTGATTTTGGGTGAATATCACACGCTGGCGTGCGCTAAAAGCACAGGTTGGGCTTCTCACTGATGCCGCAGTCGCGAAGATTCTACTAGACAGGTAAAGTTTGTCATGCTATTTGGAGAAATCCATTTAAAATCACTAGTAAAAGTTAATGCAAGCTACTTAGCGATGCTAGCCCTGGCACGAGTCATGCACCGCATAGACACGGTAAACATCTCAATTTGTCTAAAGTAGCCTTTTGACCAAATGATAAATGGTATCACGCTGAAATATTCTAAAACCTTGTGTATTCATGTGTTCATATTCTAAAACCTTGTGTGTTTATTATTACACAAATGCAACAAGCTACTTCTCCATTACATATGGAACTATGTATAAAAATAACGTATTAACAATGAGACATTAGGTTAAGGACCAACGTAATAGCACTGCTTATATGTTGCCATGTAACGTAATTGCGATTTGCAAAATAGTTTCCTCAGAACGTATTTCGTGTGATACAGGGTTGCAACTATCATGTCTTGAGTCCTCGGTCACTCAATCGATCAGTATAATAAGTAAATAAAACACGGAAGGGCATTTGACATGTTGTCTTTTTTATGAATGTTTTTGAGTTCGTTGTGCAAGGCGTAATAGGCGTTCCCTCTCGGGAGCAAGAGTACGTGTTTGTCCATGTGCATTTTTAAAAAAATTGGAGAGGGCGGGTCTTCTCTAAAATTCGGAAAGATCCTCCGCTATACCTTTAAGTGTATTATTTTTAAGTATATATTTTTATATTTTTTTCAATTCTAACATACATTGTATTATTTGAATGATGACACATACAGTATACTTATGATTAGGTAACAAGAAAACCAGCTTTCTGAGTACCGAGTACGGCTCAATCTTCGGTCAATATTTAGTTAGATAAAACAGAGCCATAGCAGGACTTATTGGAAATAATTGCCGCTTTCTGCAGAGATGGAAGTGCTCCAATAAGCTTCTAAACATTAAATACATTCAAAAATAAGATTAAAACCCACGCACCACAAAATCCCTAAGAGAAACAACAAGAAAAAACAGCTCACAGAATCATGTCGATTTCAGCAGGCATCATATGGCCAACCGAAGTTATTAACCTCCATTTCTCTAGCCCCCACTGAGTTCCCTATCTAATTCAATTAGTCACCTGCCCATGTTCAATTACCTTGCTGTGTTTGCCAGGGTAATGCCCATAAAACAAAGGTAGAGGACAGGATGTAAATAACACCCGTGAAATGCGCAGAACCATTTTGCTGGCGACATCAGCGGAGCCTTTTTACGATACCATCATCCACCCAAGTAATGCATTTTAATCCCCAAACATGTGCTTTCTGCAGATATTTCAAAGGTTATAGTGTTTACTAAACATAATTTACTACATAATCTACTTTAGCTGCATAGGTAAGACTATAAGACCACATTAAGTCTAGTAGAAGTCAAACCAAGTCTAATTGCAAATATATGTATCAATTATACCGAGTGCGTATAGCGTTTACCACATTTTGTTTAAGTGGAGTGTGTGCGTGTGGATACATCCTTCCACCCCCTCCCACGTTGTGAGCTGCAATGGTTGCGGGCACGTGGTTGGGACGAGCAGCTTGTGACTGAGGAAGGAATCTGATATGAAGACTGGGCCGCTGTTTGAAAGGTTACACAAAACATCATCGTGCTTTAAGCAAATCACAAGATCATCTATGAGAGAGTGAAAGTGGGTTTCACAGAAAAATGAGTAAAATCAGTGAAGACGATGGAGGAATAGTTGCTATGATGAAGAAACAAGAGAGACCTCATCACTGCAGCAACAAGGTGGGAATGTTGCTCCAGGACCAGCCGGAAAAACGTTAGGGTTTAAAGTAGAACTCCGGTGCAAAATGAACCTTTGGTCTAATTACACATCGGTACCTAGTCGACCGTTCTCTGAGATTTGTTTTTTAATGATAATCGAATGTAAAGAGTTTTTATCTCTAAAAATGGTTTAGCGTATAACGCTAATAATGGGGGCATTTAATAAGTAAAAAAAATCGCTAGTTTATACCACTAAGAAGGCTCAAAATAGCCCCACACTAACGTAATGAGGGTCGTAACGTAAACATAATGAGGGTCCATACATGCAAAACGAAGCATTGAGAACTTTGTAAGTGTCCAGACCGTTTAATAAGAAGATATTTTAGAAAGACAGTCCACTTCGTGTATACAGACAGAAGTGTATACAAGTCGAACCACGAACGACGTGCTAAGTGAGCTGAACTGTATGAAGTTCAGCGAACTTCTGAACTGTATGAACGGCGTTCGTGGTTCGACTTGTCGAGACTTTTTTCCAAGATGGATTTTTTTTTATCTAGTCCACTATGACCAAACCAACCTGCACCCCCCACCCAGAAGGCGGATTTCAACCGAGGAGGACAACATCATTTTAGCTACCTGCTATTAGGTTAGGAATAGGGTTAAGAAATGTCGCATAATTCGAAAAAAAAAACTAAAAAAATTATATTTCGTTATTATATTTCGGGCAGGAATTGACAATGGGCTGAGATATCTTGTAATAATGTGAGTAAATCCTCCATGACATTCTAATGTAATCGTAAAAAATAGTGCACTCAAATTTGATTATATAAAAAAAAAAAACCTGATGTAAACACAGTTTAACATTTGTCCGTAACGCCTAGTTGGCTGACAGACTGTGAGGGGCTGTGATTCGCACCGAGGCCTGAGTGTACTCATATTCCTGCAGCGAGAGGCCCTCGAATGGCCAATTGGGCTCTCTGATATCAGGTCACACCATTAGCCAAGCGTCCCTGCAGATCTTAAGGTGTCCATTAAGCAATCGGGCATCCCAGGGGATAGGGTGGAAGTGCTTTGTTAAAGCTCATTGTGTTTCCAACTACAGCCTTCTCCAGAGCCAATTGTGGGAGCGTTGGAAGGAGAAGAGAGAGAGAGAGAGAGAGAGAGAGAGAGAGAGAGAGAGAGAGAGAGAGAGAGAGAGAGAGAGAGAGAGAGAGAGAGAGAGAGAAAGGCGGCAGGGAGCCAGTGGGAGGGGTACCCCCACCAAGACACACGCCGCAGCGTGACGCCTGGCCTCTCCCTGAGCACTCCAGACACAAGCCTTCATTAGGCTTAAATATTAATAAGGAGGTTCAACAGTGTACTAATGCTTTGTTTCCTGTAAATAAGAACTATTGAATTGAGACGTCTCGCTCCAGAAAATCCATTTCGTTGAAGCTGAGTGAAAATGACTCTTGTCTAGTCTTCTAATAGCCCCATCAGCAATGAGAGAGAGCTGTAAAGTACATTTACACCATACCTGCTCATAATTGCCACACTTTGCATCTCGCATTTGTCTCTGTTCTCTTTATCCCTCCCTGCTACCATTTCCTTTGTTGAGGCCAGAACATTATACAAAGTTTAGTTGTATTAGAACGTAGAGCACCCTTGGGTTATCAGTTCCTTTTTTAAATTATCAGAAGAAATAAAATGGCTGTGGCTACATCTCTGCAAAATGATACTTAAAGGGTTTTACATGTTTCACAACACTTTCAAAGTGAAATGACTCAAAAAGTATGTTCAGTTTTATCCGAAACAGATGAACGTGAAATGTTTTATTACGTTGTTTGTAGTACAGATCGTGGCAGTAAAATGTCCGGTGAATGGCACTAAAAGGTTAATGCTCTTTTGCATTTGAAGATAACACCTACACTAAACCCTACCATAAACATAACCGATAGTGTTAAGCAAAGCAAACGTAAA